ATCAATTTCATAATTGTGCGCATAGCAGTGGTGGTCCACCGCACCACCTGTTCAAGCCAGGTGGTGTGTGTTCATTAATGCATCCTTGTCAGGAGTCACCCTGTCCACAGAGGTTACAGAAGCACGCCGTCTTGCATTCCAAAAGAGGAACTGTTGCTGGCCAAACATGCAAATTGGGCTCTGGGGTATTTTAAACACATTATACAAAACATTAAACACCAGAGATTTTACTTAAATGCATGCGTGAAGCAATGCAACTTGCGTCTCCATAATGCTTAAATGTAAGTGTCTCAATGGAACAGTTCAAATAAATAAAATAGTCATCATTTGATCACCATCATGTTGTTCCAAATCCTGACTTTGTTTCTGCTCATTTCTATACAATGACATTGGGACAGACGCACAACTCAGCGTAACTACTTCATTTATTTGGGTAATTTCAGTCTGTTTGCTGCATGGTTTCAGAAGACTTGAAATAGTCTTCCTGTCTGAATCACAAGTAAGCCCAGAGCCGGGAGATCGTTTGAGCTTGAAATGCGCATGCGGTTGATGCTGCGAAAAGTTGTAATTTCAAGTTTAAATTTAATACCAAATTTTAGTCATTTTAGTATCTGCTGTAAAAGAGTGAGCAGTTGAAGCCCATTGAATGTCATTTGTATATCATCGCATGTATGGGGTAGGATAGCCTAGAAATCTAGACGCACCCTAGCGGCAGCAAAAATTATTTTGCAGCAAAGTGTGGTCTAGCAACTCTCCGTTGGCTTTTCGAGCTGGAAAAACCAAACTCTGGTCAGGCCAATCACATCGTGTATAGAGTTGGTGGGCGGGCTTAACAATGACGGCAGGTGATTTCCCTGCTAACGTTACTTAAAAACAAAGAAGATGCTGCTGGCGAACAGCGATCTTTCGAATCGGATTTGGCCGCGACTCTGGAGGACTTGGAGTTAAGAGAACGTCACTTAAGTCATTCTTTAAAAAAGGAAGATGTGTTCGGAGTTTTGACGATCGGATACGGCAAAAGTTTAATATATCCATACGCATGGGACTCACACAGCCACAGCCGTTCGTTGCTCTGGTTGGTTGTAGCGCTGTCCTATTGGGTGCCGAGGGATATTGAAAGACAACCGTTTATCCCGCCCCTCGGATTGATGTATGCCAATTGTGAGTTCCCAGACCTAACATCTTGATGTAGGTCTGGCTTGCCAGGCTAGGGGTAGGCTACTTTAGGGAAAAACTATATACAATATAACGTTAAAATAACATGCCCATGCATATTCCTGCTCCAGTTTCAAATTATATAAAACTAGTAGCATTTTGTTATTTACTTGCTGCACACTTGAGTTATCGGTAACTTAAATGGATATTTTAGTATATTAAAGTTTAATGCTTTGACAGTGCATGACAAGTAATTGACTAGTGCTTTCTAGAATAAATGATAAACATGGTACATTGATCAGTGCAATGTACAAGTACATAAGAAGATTTTAAAAAGTCTAATTGAAAAGGAGTACATACTCTTACAGTGTTTGAGGACGGGGAAAAGTAGACATGAGTCATGTGCAGCCAATGATGAAGGAGGAGGAGGAAGACCATAGGCTGGCATGCAAGTTCGTTACAAACCTATGCGAGTTTGAGCAGGAAGTAAACCTGGAGTTATTGACAACTCGTTTCAAGAAGTTCACAATCGGTTCTTTCTTTTGGGAGACAATTTTTACATTCACATTTACAGACTTTTTACATTCACAAACAGCTATATTACACACTACATGAAAGGTAATATCCAAAAAAACATAATAGAGGCACTTTAAAGTTGTTTAATTACTTGATTGGATTACTTTGTACTTTTAGTACTTTTATGGTAGTGGTGCAATGGATCACTAAGCTCACGGTTCGGATCGTATTACAGTTTTTGAGTCCCGGATCGGATCAGAAAAAAAGAAAAAGGGGAGGGGGGGGGGGGGGGGGGTAATACTAACTTTTCTTTTCATTTATTACTTAAAGCCCACTGTAAGTACTTCGATAACACCGCAAAAATCTAAAAACGAAACATTATTAAAGAGAAATGTAATCATTAAATGTAAAATAACACTATATTGTTCACTGTATAAATTATAGATTAATCTTTGTTAAAGATGTGTTTTGTTGTTTGATTAACATTATTGACGTCGACGGCAGCAGATTTTATAGGCAGCTGTCACTTTAAGACCCAATGAACAGATCCAATATAATGATCCACATCCGATTACTCTCTCAACTGTTTACATTCACTTAAGACAAAACCGACTGTGTTTACGAGAATACTTGCCAATTCAGGTATTTTAACATCATTTTGTGTATATGCATCCGTTCGAACGCAAGAAGGAATCAATTCAGTGTTCGCTCGCCATCTAAAACATGGCTTTCTGTGTGCGCGCGATTCGGGTGTGTACGGCTGTGTGCTAAGACAACAGTGCGCAATCAAATTCTCTTTCCTTGTGTGTGTAAAATCACGTAAATTGTCAAGAATAAACACGTGCAAATGATAAACTTTCACTCTGTTATGGTTAAACTTAGCTATTAATCCGAGTATCACGTGCCGAACCGTGGGGCCTGGTCCATATGGATCAACCGCGATCCTATTTTATGGTATATTTTTTGGTCTTTTTGACATGACCAAAACAGCATTTTAGAGTGCTTTTTAGAGTTTGACCGCCATTAGTCACGGTCTACTTTCATGGAAAATACCATTCTGCTAAACTTCTCTTTTCATGTTCCACTTTCAAAAGAAAGTCATAAGGGTTTGGAACGGCATGATGATGAGTAAATCAACTATTTCTATGACACATCTTTTGGATTTTGGGTAAAACACAAGGTCTCTGGATGTCATCTCTGATTTAATCCAGACGGAGGAAGATCAACATTTCCACATGGAGGCTATAAAACAGCAGCGCGACCTGCCCTGGCCCTGGAGGAGACGATCGACTTCACGACACTCCTTACATGCCTCTCTCTCGCTCTCTTACACACACACAGAGAGAGAGAACATGAGAAAGTGGGGCAGTGGCTGTCCTGGTTATAAAGACCCACTCCCACCATCTGCTGCCGCATCACCGCAGAGACACAGTCATTCACAGGAAGAGCCTTCATCCCGCGCTCAGGCATGATGTAAAAGGAAGAAGAAAGACACATGGTAGCCTGCAGGCCGGACTGTCAAGCCGGGGCTTGAACACTAGACCCAGTGGTTGGTTTCCCATCTGAGTCATCGAGTCTTCTTCTGTAGTATCGGTGCGACTCGAAGCGTGCTCGGTCATGCGGAGGAACAGGGTTGCCATTTTACATCCAACCTGCCGGGCAGCTTTTACATTTAATGTGGCACTACCTGTCGAGCAACTTTTTCTGCAATTAAACCTTGATAAACATCTTTATTACGCCACTTTGGTGCAGTAGATCTCACCTGTGGCTCGATCTTAGACACTTCTAACAGGTGTTTGTGTATCTCGAGAGAAATATTGGTTTGAAAGAAAGGGGTTAAACATGACACTGTTTGCAAACATCTGACGCAAATGATTACAGAGTGTCACTTATTTAAAATGTGATTTACAGGCTGTAAATCAAGAGTGCGCTGAACTCTCTTGACTGAGGAGGATCATTAAGCACCGTTGAACACTTCGAAAAATTCCAGTCATACTGATAAACGCTCAATAAACAAATCATCATTTGCCCGATCATAAATACATAATTCCTTCTCTATTTGATATCAAATAGAGAAGGAATTATGTATTTATGATCGGGCAAATGATGATTTGTTTATTGAGCGTTTATCAGTATGACTGGAATTTTTCCACGGTGATAACCTCAGTCTGGCTCTAAAGTATTTTACAACTTTTTCACACGTTTATGTAGTTTTACTTGCATTTAAAAAAATATCATTCAGTTAAATAAAAATATATAATTTTTGAGTTTAATAAAATAATGTAAATAGTTAGAATGAACAAAATAAATGATGTACGCTATACTAAAGAAAATTTAAAGAAATTAAATACATATAAATTGTTTTATTATATAAATTCAATAAAAATAAATAAAATAAGCTGGTCAAAAAAATTATCTGCCAGATCATGAACACATAAATCATTATCTTTTTGATTATTTCTTAGTTTAATACAATAATTATTCTAATAAATAGTTAAATTAAAATACATTATGTATACTAATATATACTCAAAGTAAATATATACACATATACATACTTGTATTATATAAATGCAATTAAAATAAAAAATATAAACTAGACCAAATAAACAATAATATAAAATGTTTTGTTTAATAAGCTATTTATATATCAAATTAATGATTACCAATATAAAAATGCTTTATATAAATACTAACAGTTGGATGATGTTAAATGATAAATGATATTTTTAGAAGTTCTGTCCAATCAGTTTTAGGGCTCAAATGCGAATAAGCAATATGATTTTAGAGTTTCACCAGAAAAAAAAAAAAATCACTTCCTCACTTTGAGGAAACAGATTTGATGAGATACGAGAAACAATGATCTATAAAACATGACTAACGTTATAGCTCGACTCTATGATCTCTCATGTTCCCATTTGACACGATAAGTTTATGAAAACACAATGAGTAGAACTAATCGTAGTTATCATCAAAACAGTCAGAAATGTGTCGTTCTAAAGACAAAACAAATCTCACATCCTCCTTTTTGAAGTTTGAGACAATTCTGGTGAATAAAAGCAAACTTCATTTGTCCAAGTTAAACAGTATCTATAGACACACCCTCAATGTAAACGACACAAACCCCGTACACGATTACAAATCCGATCTACAAAGCACTTAAATAAGATCAAGCTTTTTAAAAGATCGCCCTTAGTGTGCTCTAAATGTTATCCCACAAGCGGTTCGTCCCTGCTTTTCCATTTTACAACCAGATTTCCTGTCCGATCCCCACAGCAGTGTTGGAGATCAGCGAGTAGCCTATAACAGAGAAACACGCGCGCGCTTACCTGAACATAATTATTCTCACAGTAGTCCGCGACCCTCGTGAGGTTCTGGTAACTCTCTACGAGAGCTCGTTTACCGGCTGGAATTTCTTCCTCTAGTAACATCTGCAGCTCTGCCATCTTACATGTCTCCGCAGAGCTTCCTACTCGTCTCTGGGATTTGATTGAGAGCTCAAGCTCAGCCCTGGTGAAGTTGGAGTCGTTCTTTTGAGTCGAATCTCTCATTGAATCGGTTCGCAAAACAGGACTCAACGATTCGTATGTTTAATTCGCATGCGGGACTGAATCAGTACAAATCTGAATCTCGAGTCAACGACTCACTAAACCATTGAACCGAGACATGCGCGACTCGTAATGAGCTTTGGAGTGAACCGATTAGCAGGCAGGAATATTACAAACACACTAGAAATATGTTGCCAACTTGATTATATGACAGATTAATCAACACGCATATGAAAAGGAGTTGGTTAACTTGCAAAAAATCATGAGAAATGGTGATTGTATAGCCTAATTTAATCCGCATTAGCTTACATTTAGGTTCATAGTTGTAGCAAATGGGATAAATTACATTACAATATACAACCCTATAGCCTAACTTCATAGAGAAAAAAATACCAATAAACAGAAACGTGCCAACATGGTTTAATAATGAGCATTTGAAATATACTGCCAGGATCTCAGGGACACGTGGTGACGTAACTACGTATTGACGCAAAAGAATCAGTGAATTTTGTGTTTATTTAAACGGTTCGTTGCAAAGATCTGTTCAAAGGAGCCGATTCTATGAAATGAGTCTGATTCCCCCTTGCTTCGCTTTCGTCACACCGTACCAATGTGCATACTATCCATCCTAAATAGTATGTGACATTAGGAATTGTCAATACTATTTAGGGCATAGTATGCACATTGGGACGCAGCTTATGGTCACACAGCGTCACCTATCAACACAGCTGATAACAGTGTTGCTGAGCGAATGGAACGTTGGGATTTGTAGTGTTACAATTCATTTAGTAACGAGGGAAGGAACGCTTTAATGTGTTTAATTAAGTGCTACAGAGGATTGGTCTTCGCGTCGATTGCGCATAGAATTATTAAACGAATTTGTTTCTTTAGAGATATGTGTTAAAATATTGCTTGGCAGTTTCAAAGTTCGTAGCTAGGTACGGTTTTTATGTCATAAACCCCCTTGGGTAAGCTTACCTCGATGAACTACATTACCCAGAATGTTACGCGTGTAGGTTAAGAACTATGGTATTTGTAGGATTGAAATACCGTTGTTGCAAAACCCTCGGCAGTTTCGTTCTCTAAAGAAACTACAATTCCCTGTAAACACCTGAGGAAGGCTTTCGTATGTTGACTGTCAGGTACGTATTCATGAGGTCGTAGTCCTACCAGCAGCACAGCAGGTAGAGCAGCAAATGGTAAAGTATCAAATGCTAGTGCTTCGTCGCTTCAATCATTTCTAATGCAGGTTGATCTAGAAATATCACATTAAATAGTATTTGGTGCACTTTCAGTCATGTCTTGCTTGTCCTTCAGGATTTGTCGAGACATAAAGGGTTGTTTTTGGCTTTGTTTACTTCTTTTGGAATGATAAATAGTCGTATGAACTTGTAATAGCAGCTTCGATTTACTGTGACAAATGCAAGGGAAATGCATTTCCTAAATCGGTTAATATGTAATGTAACTTTGCTTGTAGGTTTGATCCAGATCTTGCTGTAGCGGTTAGATGGTCATGATGGAGGGGGACAACAAACCAGTCTACGAGCAGAGGTTCAATGCTGCTGTCAAAGTGATCCAAAGTTTACCTTCAAACGGTGAGTAGTTCGGTCAGTCATTCAGGTAGTGTATTGTGTGTTATTGCAGCAGTGCACGCGACCCCTCACCTACTGTACTACTTTTATTTGATCGCCGCAGTTTTAATCAAATTACAAGTGATGTCGGGCTTCTATGGTCAACGCGATTAGCCTACATTGAGCTGGGTTTAGACGCGAAACAGCTCATGTGCCACTAGCCCTGATCACAGTCAACGTGTGCTGATTGCTGATGTGTTACCATATGACAACATGCTAAAGACATGCTTATGGTATTTCTATGTAGAGGGATAGTCTTCTGTCTTCATTTACTTCAAACCATATGCTGTTTGTTTATGTATTTATTTTGTGAAACACAAGATAATAATTTTTTTAAGAATCAATAGTGCCTTCTTTAAAACGACATGAGGATGGCATTTTTTATTTTTATGTGAATTCACATAATTTGGAATGAATTCATGGTTCAGAATGGATCATATTTATACATTATATAGAGCTGGTAAGTCCCGTTGGAGTTTTACGGATGTAAAGTGGACCTCTAGGTTGAAAAAGCGTCAATGCAAGTGAATGAGAGAAAATAATTATTTTCTGATCCCGTTTGAATTGTGCCATGAATGTGAACATATGTTGTCTGTGAATTTTTTATATAATTTCTCATGTAACGAGTTTGACAGTATATTGTATGATTCTTTGGCTAGCAGTTGTGGAATAGACATAACGAGAAAGACTACACGTCGCATATGTGATGTCACCGCATAACACATTTTCCCTCCACAAATCACGGTGCGATAATCTAAGGAATTAGATCGAGATGCCTGTGTGTTTTGTACCCAAATGTCACCATTCAAACAAAGGCATGTTTAGCGGGATCCGTGTGCTAGTGGTGGTGACGTATATCAAACGCGTCGAAAGCAGCGAAGAGTTGTAGTCCACAAAGTGCTCTCACACAAAGTCTAACCGTATGAAAATTCTACCCGCTAAATTGTACCATTCTTTACACGAAAATTTATATAAAAAATTCACAGACAACATATGTTCACATTCATTGCAAAATTCAAACGGGATTAGAAAATAATAATTTTCTCTCATTCACTTGCATTGACGATTTTTCAACCTAGAGGTCCAGCGGGGTAAGCGGAAGGGGCGGGACTTACCAGCTCTCTCTCTCTCTCTCTCTCTCTCTCTATATATATATACACTCACCGGCCACTTTATTAGGTACCCCATGCTAGTAACGGGTTGGACCCCCTTTTGCCTTCAGAACTGCCTCAATTCTTCGTGGCATAGATTCAACAAGGTGCTGGAAGCATTCCTCAGGGACTTTGGTCCATATTGACATGATGGCATCACACAGTTGCCGCAGATTTGTCGGCTGCACATCCATGATGCGAATCTCCCGTTCCACCACATCCCAAAGATGCTCTATTGGGTTGAGATCTGGTGACTGTGGAGGCCATTTTAGTACAGTGAACTCATTGTCATGTTCAAGAAACCAATTTGAAATGATTAGAGCTTTGTGACATGGTGGAAGTAGCAATCAGAGGATGGGTACATGGTGGCCATAAAGGGATGGACATGGTTAGAAACAATGCTCAGGTAGGCCGTGGCATTTAAAGGATGCCCAATTGGCACTAAGGGGCCTAAAGTGTGCCAGGAAAACATCCCCCACACCATTACACCACCACCACCAGCCTGCACAGTGGTAACAAGGCATGATGGTTCCATGTTCTCATTCTGTTTACGCCAAATTCTGACTCTACCATCTGAATGTCTCAACAGAAATCGAGACTCATCAGACCAGGCAACATTTTTCCAGTCTTCAACTGTTCAATTTTGGTGAGCTCTCGCAAATTGTAGCCTCTTTTTCCTATTTGTAGTGGAGATGAGTGGTACCCGGTGGAGTCTTCTGCTGTTGTAGCCCATCCGCCTCAAGGTTGTGCGTGTTGTGGCTTCACAAATGCTTTGCTGCATACCTCGGTTGTAACGAGTGGTTATTTCAGTCACTGTTGCCCTTCTATCAGCTCGAACCAGTCTGGCCATTCTCCTCTGACCTCTGGCATCAACAAGGCATTTCCGCCCACAGGACTGCCGCTCACTGGATGTTTTTTCTTTTTCGGACCATTCTCTGTAAACCCTAGAGATGGTTGTGCGTGAAAATCCCAGTAGATTAGCAGTTTCTGAAATACTCAGACCAGCCATCTGGCACCAACAATCATGCCACGTTCAAAGTCACTCAAATCAACTTTCTTCCCCATAATGATGCTCGGTTTGAACTGCAGGAGATTGTCTTGACCATGTCTACATGCCTAAATGCACTGAGTTGCCGCCGTGTGATTGGCTGCTTAGAAATTAAGTGTTAACGAGCAGTTGGACAGGTGTACCTAATAAAGTGGCCGGTGAGTGTATATACAGTAGTCAACATTTGAAGTGGTCAAGAGGATCTAAAAATGTTCATCAAAGTTGTCCTAAGACAAGAACGGGTATTGTTCAAAATTCATGTATAACTTTGATGAAGGGTTTTGATCCACTTCAAATGTCGACTACTATAAATATTTATGTAAAGTTTATATTATTTTATAATGTATGTAATAGTATGTATTGTATATAAAAACATGTATTTATATATGCATGTATGTGTGTGTGTGTGTGTGTATATATATATATATATATAATATATATATATAAATATTCTTGATTTTTTTTTTCTTGACCAATCTGTAATATTGCAGTATTTTTTTGTTTTTCAATCAGGTTCTTTTCAGCCTTCCAATGACATGATGCTGAAATTTTATAGCTACTACAAGCAAGCAACACAAGGCCCCTGCAACATCCCCCGTCCAGGATTCTGGGACCCCGTTGGCAAAGCCAAATGGTATTGAACCTGCTGAATGTCCATATTTGTAAATTTATAAAGAAATGTTTAGTTGTAAATGTTAATAGTTTTTTAAAGGTTAACTTTTTTTAAATCACAAATAGGCCTTATTTTGCCTTTTTACAAAGTCTAGATTTTGAAAGATTTTTGTTTTCACATATTTTACATTTTTGGAGTTCCACTTGGTGCAACTATTGATGCTAAAATAGCATATTTCAGTTTCATATTTTTTTCAGTTCTACAATAATCTGCCATGTGTCTTTAAAAAGAGGCACATGGCAGTCTGTGCTCCAAAGTATTCAAGATTTATAACAACTAAAGTTGGAGATGTCATTTTGGGGTCTATGCCAGATTGCCAGTGTGAGTCTACATAATTTAGACCAGTGTCAATGACCTACTGAAACGGAACTGTTGGTCTGTTTAAAGTTCAGTGAAATAACAGATCAGTATCAGTAACATCTGATTCCTATTTCAGTAACTTTTTGAAATACCGCTCTGAAAGTTCCACATTTGT